GAGGGATGGGTACTCGATCATTGTATGACTGAAACGCAAGCACAAAAGTTTGTAAGTCTGTAACTGTATCCCATGGTGCTTCACTAATAAAAATATTTTTTTAAAAATTTCTGCTGTCTAGAGGGCGAGAGACGGACACTCGGACTCTGGACTGTGTGACTTCACCTGAGAGGTGAAGTAGGGAAGGACACTGCAGGTGCGTGAGTCGCAAGCTCCTTCCAGACACCCCATCCCAGGAGTTGCTATGCTGGTGTCCTGCTGACCACAGTGGCCTCTGGGCTCTACCTCCAGGGCACAATCTGTCCAGGTCCCCCCAGAACTCCCAGAGGAGGATGAGACCCTCAGGGGGGAGCCCAGCCCAGCCCCTCACATCCTGGTGTTCCTCAGGCAGCCTCTACAGATCAACCCTGCACTCCAGGCATCCCCTCCTGATACCCCCATTCCAGAAGCCCTGACACAGCCCCCGTTGTGCCCAGACCCCCTCCTGACTTGGCCCCGGCCCCTCCACCCCAGCTTACCTACTTTGGCAAGAGCATAGGTGCCAAAGCCCAGCGCTGGCATACAGTGCCCATCATTCAGCCTCACGCTCCAATTGCCCCTGAGGTTCATCCCCGTGCAGTACTGCTCCCCGGTCTTGGCCGTTTCTAGCTGAGCCCAGCAAAAGATCAGCTGAGGGGTTCTTAGGCAGCCTGCAGCAAGGCGACCCTGGGCATGCTGCCAGCTATTCTGACATGGAGGCAGAATCAGCGCTCGCACTCTGGGTGCCTGCCAAATGTGTGGGGGCATCTTGGGGCACTCCCAATGCCGGCAGGGCCTCTCAGCCTGTCCTTGATGGCAAACGCTTCCAGGTCACTCCCATGACGGCACCAGGGCTGCATGCAGGGCCCTTCTCCAGAAGTTCCACAGAACTGCGTGCTCAGGACAGCCCAACCCTGCCCAACAACCAGGCTGAGATACACATGTGGCTTTTCCTCTTTCCTTCCTCCTCCCTCCCTTCCTCTCTATTCCTCCTCTCTTTCCCCTCTCTTTCTTCCTTTCTTTCTCCCATTTCACCTTTGAACATTCAGTTCTTCATAGTTGAATGCACTGCCAAGAACCTGCTAAATCCCAGAGGCCTCCATGCTAGATCTTAAATGCAGGACCCCTGTCCACATCGTTCACTTTCTCTCTTCCTTCTTCCATCTCTTCTTAATTTCATCTTTCTCTCTCTGATTCTTTCTCCCCATTTTTCTCTCTGGTTTTTCTCTGTCACATAAGAACAGACACAGATACAGACACACACTCACACACATACTCACACACTCACATACATTCACACATTCACACTCACACACACTCACATACACTTACACACACTCACACATACACACACATTGTAACATTAAGGTGGTCCCAGTATGCTGTGTAATCTCCAGGACTAATCTGGAGTGTGTATAAATGGTGACTTGTGGACCATATCAGAGCCTCAGGGCTGACCCAGCCCCACACAGGCTGAAGCAACACAGCATCCACCAAAGCCAGCTCGGATTCCAATAACCACACACGTGATGTTGACTCAATGTGTGTCAACAGAATCCTGGCTGCACCCATTCGATAATCCGCACAGAGATCTGGCTGAGTCATGCCTACTAAGCAGTCAAGGGCTCCAAAGGGGGCAAACGCGTGTCTACTCCCACACAGGAAGGTGTAGCACCCAGCACCACAGGGGCCATGAACACAGGGTGCTGGGAGAACAGACCGTGGCTGAGCTCACCCAGCCCAGAGTGGGGCAGGTGCTTCTGCAGTAACCTGCATGGGCTCCCACAGTGACTCACACTCACGATCCCACACACACTCGGCCAGCTGCTCCCACGGGTAAGACATGGGCCCACGGCACTGTGTGAGGGTCTCTCCAATGAGTTCACTGCCCAGCATGGGATGGGAGAGTCTAGGAGGGGAGGGACACATGGGAAAGAGGCTGAGGGGGATAAGGTGGGGCAGCAGGAAGAGGGCTGGGACCTGGGGCCTGCTGAGGGGAACTCGGAGGGGCTTGTTTTGGCTGCAGAGAGAGTGCAGAGCCAGGGGGGCAGGGTGGGAGATGCAGGTCTGGGGCTCACAGTCCCTCTGACACTGCTTGCACGTGCCAGGAGGGAATGAGGAAGAAACGGTGGAAGACATGCTGTGCACCCCAAGAGAGTAAGGAACTGAGATGCAGCTCACAGAGCAGGGTTGAGCAAGATGGAGAGTCGCATGGGGAGTTTGTCTGACGGTGTCCTGTAGGAGAAGCCTTTTCTATTTGATTGGATTTTGGAGCCCACAGAATCGTGCTCGGATCTTCCACTTGGCTGCACTCATGGATCATTCTGGCTGTGGTCAGGGGACCCTGTGCTGGTGTTCGACCCTGAGCCAACCACATGTGAAGTTCACTCCCTATCTGCTTTTCTACCTCTCCAGTTCCGTAATTTTAAGTTTTAAGATGTCTGTATGTTTATATTAGTTTGTGCATAGATTAGAGATGAAACTTCTGCTTGATATTTACAAAATTAGGTTTTTTTTACTTTTTTCTTAAAGTAAAATTTTATTTTATTTTTTTTCCCTTAAATTTTTATTAGTGAAACACCATGAGGTACAGTTGTAGACTTACAAATTTTTGTGCTTGGGTTTCAGTTATGTAATGATCGAATACCCATCCCTCCACCAGTGCCCATTCTCCACCACCACTGATCCCAGTATCCCTCCCACCACCCCATTCCCCCCATCCCACCCTACCTCTGTGGTAGGGCATTCCCTTTTGTTATCTCTCTCCTTTTGAGTGCTGTGGTTTGCAAAATTTGTTTTTATTTATATCAGCATTTATGTGGAGTTATCGAAAAAGAATAAATATGCTAGTAATACATGATACTCCCTGCCTAAAGAATGCCAGATTAGATGCTTCTCTTTCATCATTCACATAAGTAATTTTCAGTAATTTTCTGAAATATACAGAGGTATATTTATCTGAAATATAAATGTATATGTATCTGAAATACTGGGCTGGAATGATAGCACAGCAGGTAGGGAGTTTGCCTTGCAAACGGCCGACACAGGTTCGATTCCTCCACCCTTCTCAGAGACCCCGGCAAGCTACGGTGAGTATCTTGCACTCATAGCAAAGCCTGGCAAGCTACCAGTGATGTATTCAATATGCCAAAAACAGAAACAACAAGTCTCACAATGGAGGTGTTACTGGGCCCGCTCGAGCAAATTGATGAACAACGAGAGGACAGTGCTACAGTGCATGAATGATATAAAGTATTAAAAGAGAGCAGAAAGGGAGTATAGGGCTGAGGGACTGCCTAGCCCTCAGGGCACTGTGCCAAGTGAACACTCCTCACTAACCTGCTCGCTGCTGACTGCTGAGGCAGGTGTACTCTGGAGTACCTTCATATTTCCTCCTCCTCTTCCTCCTCTCTTTCTGCTCCGCAAAGCAAGGGGCACCTGGCTGGCTGGAGGCAGGTGGGGGCTCCCAGAATTTCCCAGCTTGGGCTCAGTCGCCCACGTTTGGTGACCAGCGAGGTTCGTTGTTTCCAGAGCCGTGGCTTGGAGTCTGAGTCTCGCACCCCCTATCCCCCCACCCATCTCCTGGCTGATGACAGGATGAGTGTGTGTGGCAGGGAGTTTCCCGCCTGGCCTGCTTCCTGTTCTCCCACTGGCTGAGGGTCAGGACCTCAGTGCATCTGACAGATATCCCCTCCAGGGTCAGCCAGCACGTTCCCTGTGGTGTGGCCTCTGGTGCCCGAGACTGTGCAGTGGTCCCAGGGGCACCTAGGAAGAGGACACTGCAACATGGCTGCCTCAGGATGGACATGGACTCTGGCCGTCAGTGCTCAGCTATGCATGGAACCAGGAGGAAGTCGGGCACAATGTTCCAAGCATCCTTCTCTAGAAGGACGGGGTGGGGAGACGACCCCAGCACTGTCACTGGAAGAGAGACAGTCCTAACTGTGTGTTTGTGGAGTGGGGGGTGAGCAGATGTGTGATGTACCGGGGGAAGGGGCCTGAGGAATCCAGAGAGAAGGGTATTGCCAATAGGGTCGCGGGGGCAGGGAGAAGTGAGGGCCCAGTGACGGCTGTGGGAGGAAGATCAGAGTCAGGCATGGCTGGGGACAGGAGGTCAGTGTCTGCCCAGGACCCCGGAGAGTCCTGCTGTTTCACAAGGTGAGCTGTCACCCCTTTCGTCCCTCCTCAGGCACACGACTGTTTGCTCTCCTGAATTCTCCAGAGCCTCTTGGGACTGAAGACATTGGGTCCTCAAAGGCCAGACGGACACCTAACTTGCTTCCTGCTCCAGTAGACTACACACACAACCTCTCGTGTTCAGAGCAAGCAATATCTGGTTTTACAACTGACAAAAAAATCAGCCAGATAAAGAATTTTCAATAAAGTCTGCAAGATGAATGGCAAACTACAAAAGAATGTTTGTTTTTTAAAAGTGGCAAACATGGGCAGAGGACTAGAAAATTCAATAGTGAATAGGACACCTGCTTTACCACCAATGAATTTAAGACTGGAGTTCTTGGACAATAATGGCAAGCTTGGAAAATTACGATGACTAAAAATGTTTTCAGTCTATGTACCAAAACTCTGAAAATTTCAACACTATAAACAAACACACATTTGCATAGACTTGGCACATCCTCTAGAGAACAGGGTAATGATGCCCTAAAAATAGATTGAAATCAAGGTCACTGTGAGGCCCCATGCGGGACACTGACTCAAGCGAGGGACATTGTCTGAGGTCTCAGGGCACTGTGTGCTCCACGGGGCCATGACAGCAGAGACTGAATCTGCCCCTTGAGACAAATGACCGGTTAAGGGGGGATGGTGCTCAGGGAGTGAGGCAGAATGGGAGGGAAAGTTACTAGGCCCTTCCATTCCCCGGGACAAAGATGACCCACACAGGCCTATGGACCAGCCATGCCCTCAGACTCACAATGGAACTCATACTGTATTGTAAACAGAGGCAACATCGATACAACAACTAGAAAGAACAATCAACAGGAGAGCCCCCAAGAAAGCAGTTTAATTGGAAATTTCCAAACTGTTATATTCTTATATTAGCCTATATCAGTATCTGATTCCAATGTAATTTGTAGTGAATAATCTATGATTGAATAATCAGGATACAATGCCTTCGATCTGAGTATTGATTGGAAGGAACAGGTCAAACGGAAAAGGTGGGGCTGAGCCTCCCACAGCCATGTTTGAGGGTCCAGGAGCTCTGGGGATGGTGCCTGGGACAGCGATTGAGCTCAGCTCTCCTCAGCAAACGGGTAGTCAGGGTGGCCTACTGTGCTGTGGGGAGGGAGACAAACAGGATTAGCATGGCGGTGGTCTCTGGGGTCAAAGAGCAGCGTTCTGCCAAAACTTTCAGGTATACCAGAGTTGTTGGCTGAAAACTCCAGGTCTTCTCGGAGTTGGAGTGGGTGACCTCCGCCCACCTCCCTGGACTCCGGAAGCCCCAGAAGCCACACTCGAATCCCACAGCCATCTCCATGTAAGCTCACTGCCTAGTTAAATATTCTGGATTTTCTGGAGTGACACCTCCAAACTCTACAATGCTAACAGCACATCAGATAGGATGGAAATGTAACACAGAAGCCAACGAACCTCATCTAAGAAAAACATCCACACAGAAGGTTCCACTAGTAACAGCAGCTCAGTAAACCCTCAGGCGACCTAATGTCCCCAGGGTGAGATACAACAATTTTTACTAATTTTATTTTACTGAAATATTTTTTGGTCATTCAGTTTGCCACTCTGTGGTAACCAAGCAATTTAAAATAAAATCTAGTGGGGCTTCTATGAGGACAGGCTTGAGGGATGGTTGGGAAAATGGGAACAATGATGGAGGGAAGGGGACAGTGGTGGTTGGATTGGGGTTGAAATACTGAATGCCAGTAACAAATCATCATGAACAACTTTGCAAACAAAGTGGAGGAAAAAAGAGCAGGGTTCTCAGAGGGCATGGGCTGGGCTAGCCCCTCCCACCTTTACCCACAGTGATAAATTCCCCCAAGACAAAATGGACTCTGAGCAGGGACAAGTCCCCCCATGTCCCCAATTCCCACTCTCCGGGGGAAACACTGCCTGAACGGCATCAGGTGTGACCGAGAACCCCTGTTTCTGAAGCTGCCAGAACTACTGCTCCAGGCCGCTTCGAAACCCACATGGAGACTCAAGGCCACCTGTTCTCTCCAGTCCACTCCCCCAAACATCCTCCCTAGCCCCTGTGGTCTTCCCAAAGGTCTTGAGACCCCAGGACATGCACACAGCTTTTCCACAGGAGGGGTTCAGGTCCTCCCCATGGGACTACCTCTTCCCTTTGTCACACTAGTCGCCCTCACCTCTGCCTCCTTCTGCATGTCTGTCCTTCAGGGAGTCTGTCTTGTCCCCCAGCTGTCACACGGCCCCTTTCAGGGTGGCCTTTGTGTGTGAGAGACATAAATGGGGCAGCAGGTCCTTGTGCATCAACAGTGGGGCTCAGAACAAAAGCGTTTTTCAGTGGCTCTGACCCAATCTATTGCTATTGTCCACCCTGAATCCTAGGCTGGACATCAGGTCTGAGGAAGCCAGAGGCCCAGTTTTACACCTCTGTCACATATTCTACCATCTGTCTAACCCAAGATGCCTGTTCCCCACCTCCAAGCTCCCGCTCCCCAGCACACCATTAGAATCGCTGACCCCCACTTACAATTCCATTCCGCAATAGCGGAAGTTCCTGTTGAGGCCATTGATGGCTTTCATGTCCTCTGGGGTCAACTGGAAGTCAAACACCTGCAAGAAGGAACGCCTGGGAGTCTCCTCAGGGAAGGCAGCTTCTCCCCAGGACATGGGTTCCCCACCCAGCCCACACTCACAGCCAGGTAGAGTATGACTTCAACTTCTCAGCTTACTGCTTGAGGCATTCCTTGCCTCAGTTTCCCACTCATCTGTACCCTCTCTTGAGTGAGTCTCTGTGGATGTGAGTGAAAGGCCTTTGTATTCTCTCAGTTAAAGGACAGCAGCACCAACTTGCAAGCACCCACTGTCTGGGCCACGCTGAGGTAGGTTTTCGCTTCCTATGCTGCTCTGTGAAACTGGGGTAGCCTGGAGCCTTGGCTCAGGGGTGTGTGTGTGTGTGTGTGTGTGTGTGTGTGTGTGTGTGTCTGTGTGTGTGTGTAAGAGAGAGAGGGAGAGAGAGAGAGAAAGGGAGAGAGCACCTGCCTGGTGGCCTCTCCAACGTCACAGATCCTGGAACCTCCCTCCTGCCCAAAGGTGTAGCCACCTCAGCTGTCCTGGCCCCCAGGTGCTGCTTATTCCCTTCTCATCTCCTCTCGGGAAAGGCCGGAGCATCCAAGAGGCTCACAGATCTCACAGCAGAGAGCCCACCCGGAAATAAAGCCGCCCTGCCTCAGTCTGCTTCCATGGTCAGGGTGGAGACTCCACGGCAGGACAGCAGACAGTGGGAAGGGCAGGACCTCAGTTGTTAGGCATCACAAAGGAAAACACAGTTCCCCTCTATGCCAAGAACCTATCCCTCCATTGTGTCTCCATTGTGCCAGGGGGATAGACCAGAGGGCAGGGCACTTGCCTTATAGGATCCTATCCCTGGCACCACACATGTTCCCCTAAGCACCTCCAGAAGTGATCTCTGATCACAGAACATTGAGAAAATCCTGAGCATTCTCTAGATGTGGACCAAACACACACACACACACACACACACACACACACACACAACACATGCACCCACGCACACACATACGCACACAGATGCACGCATGCATGCACATACACACTCCAGACATGAAATGCTACCGTGTGGTCTGGAGAATAGGCTGAGCTGAACTGAAGACAAGATGGAGCTTTAAACTGTCTCAGTGATTTTGGAGTTGCTTTAAGGTGTTTCTGTGAATCATGTCTATAGATTCAATACTTATGTCACTTGACACAATGTCATCTTCTACAAATGATAATTCCCCTGATTAAGTTTTTTCTCTCTTCACAGAGTGTCCATGAGGTTGTGGACACTCTGTGTAGACACTCTCCACATAAGAGAATGTGTGGAGAGCATGTTAAGGCTGCCCCGAGGCTTCACTATCCCCAGGGCCTCTCACCCGCCCCTTCCCCCCGCACCTTCACATGCTTCAGTCGAGCGCACCTCCACAGCGGAAGATGGGCGGAGAGTGCATGCACCCCAACGGCCTCCCCACAAGACCAGCTCCCTGGAGCCCCGGGTTCAAACAGTGTGTGATGGGGAGAGAGAAAAGAGCTCAATCCAGGTATCACAGTTCCTATGGGTGGAGGAGTCCTAGAACTGATGTGACTCCCGAGGAAAAGGTCCTCGTGCCAAACCAAGTGTGACAGAGAACACCATACCCCCATCCAGGGCTGTGCAGTCAGGCCAGACATCCCACAACACACTGGCCCCCGGGGACCCAGGAACACCAAGAATGAACTTGGACGTGAGTGGGAAAGAACATGTGGGCCCAAATGCAGGGATGAGAGAGAGGGCGCCGCCCTGCTCACTCACCACCGCACCCCTACCTGGAAGTTCTCCTTGATCCTCTTCTCACTGAAGCTCTTGGCCAGCACCACCACCCCCCGCTGCAGCTGGTAGCGCAGGGCCACCTGGGCGGGGCTACGACCGTGTTTCTTGGCAATGGCCTTCAGGACCGGCTCCTCCAGGAGGAACGGACAATCTCTTTTGATCCTACAAAAACAAAATCCCAAATATGAGGATGTGCAGGGTGTAGGCCTAGGGGCATAGCCAGCTGCCCTGTTCCAAATATCCCTAGAGAGCTGAAGGGGGCAATATGGTGTGACCTAGGGAAGATTTGCATGATCCTCTGAAACATTCAGAATTGCACAGAACTGGTAAGAGTCAACATGACCCTTGACTCTCAAACTGAAAATCGATTTTTGGTATGTATTCACACAGCCAAACTATCCAGCAGAGAGGAAATGAAGAGGTGGCGCACTGTGTGGGAGCTGGGCACAGAGAGGGCCTAGGTGCCTGCCTCCCCATCAGCCCAGCACAGAAACCTGCCCAGACCGAAAAATAAAGCCAAGAAAGGGTCCTGGGGCAGGAGCTGTGCGTGGAAGTAGCACGGCCAACTCCTCAGGAGATGGAAGGTTCTGTCTCCCTGCAGGCTGCAGCCCCCACGGTCCACCCGTTTGTCAAACTGAGGGTCTTAGAGTGCATGTGTGGAACATGGGCAAACATGCCCATCACCTCACTTTCTAAGTGCACATAGGTTGTAAGTGTAGCTCAGGTGGTACCACATAATCTTGGAGTCTGGAGTCTATCCTTAACACCATGTGACTCCCCGGCACTGCTGGTGGGCCCCACATCAATAGTGACTAGGAACATAACATCAGAATGAATATGAGCAGATGGACGAACAAGGCCACAAGTAGCTGCGGTGTGCAGTTGAGGCCTATGAGGCCATGTGGAACTCACTAACCCTTGAGGATTTTTTGGTTTTTTTTAGGGTTTATTTTGTTTGTTTGTTTTGGTGCCAATCCTGGCTGCGCCCAGGGCTTACACATGGCTTTTATCTCAAGGACCACTCCTGGTGGGCTCAGAGGACCACATGGGATGCTAGGAATCAAGCTTGGTTTGGCTCGTGCAAGATCAATGCAGTACCCATGTATTATTGCCCTGGCATATATTTCTTATGCTTATGCTTGAAGAGAGCAATGCAATCTCCTGCCCCACACCTGGCTGTCCTCACCAGGGTCCCTTTGAGAGTTTCCCTCCCCACCCCAAGCAGAGCCCCGACAGCTGAAGACCTCTGGAATCAGCCACAGCCATGCTTAAGACCACTCTCCACATGCTCAGATGAGCCTCACGCATGAAGAAACCTGCAGAGGAACCCAGGTGTGCGGGATCCGGGGCTTAGATCTTCAAGCCTGCTCGGATCAAGACTGGGCCTCCTCCACCCAGTTTCCCCATCTTCCAGTAGTTAGAAATTATACCCACCAACTGCCTCCAGCGCTGTTAATGGCCAAGATCCAGAGACAATAAAACCAAGGTCCCAGAAGCACATGGTTCCATTTGCGGCTGCGCAACCTCTTATTGTCTAGTTCTCACTCTCGGAGAACCTGGGCTACCAAGAGTATCCTGCCCATACAGCAGAGTCTGGCAAGCTCCCCGTGGTATATTTGATATGCCAAACCCAGTAACAATGATGGGTCTCGACCCCCTGACTCTGAAAGAGCCTCCAATGTGGCACTTGCTAAAATCTCAGAGTTAGGACTAATGGAGACGTCACTGGTGCCTGCTCAAGGAAATAGATGTACAACAGGATGACAGTGATACAGTGATGATTGAGTCATTCTATACACAAATGTGAAAGCTTAAAGAGATCTGTTTGGTTGTCAGGGAAGATGCTGCTAGAGTGTATCCAAAATTCTCTTTATCACTTTGGGTACCTGTGAGAACAAATGGTGACAAAGTGTTTTCAAAAATTCTCATTTACCATCGAGGGTCCCGGTGGGATCCCAGGGCGCTGTAGGCCACAAGGATGATGTCCCTGGACTTGCAATAGTCCAGCAGTTTCTGCTGGTTCAGGTAAGGGTGACACTCCACCTGCAGGACCAAGAACACAGACTCAGGCACCAAGGAAGCTCTCCTGAGCCAGGAGCAGACGGGGAGCTTGTTCGGGCGTGTCCTTCCCACAGACTCTCTCACAGGCTGGACAAGGGCACCCACTGCCATGGGCCCCTCCCAGGGCAGGTTCACAGGCCCCAGGTGCTCTCCCGGGAGAGGGCTCTGTGTGTGTGTGTTCCTGTCGTCAGGACCTCTCTGCCCTCAGGGCATCTCTGCACTTAGGACCCCTGGGGACGTGGGGGCAAGGAGGGAGCAGGGGGCACACGGGCCCACCCACAGCTCACCTGGTTGCACACGGGCTTGTACTTGAGCCCTGGCTTGCTGAGGATCATCTCCAACTGTTTGCGGCTGAAGTTGGACACGCCGATGGACCTGGTCAGCCCTGCGTCTTTGCAGCTCTCCAGGGCCTGGGGACGGTGCACAGGAAGCCCTGTCATCTGCCCATGCCCTGTGACCGGAGTACTCCGAGACCATGTCCCCAGGAGCCCCCTTTCCACAGGCGGGTCACTTCCATCAGGGCTGCATTCCCTCCCCGCACCCAGGCCATGTCTGTGCAAGGTGCCCACGTCCCTGCGGGCCCGCAGAACTGTCAGTGTTGTTTTGACTTTAGGGAAGGGCCTTTGGGCCACACTTTCCTGTGTCTCAGGCCTCCCTCTGATGCTGCACTCAGGGATGATTACTGGGGACCGGGTGCAGTGGTGGGGATGAAACACAGAGCAGCCACATGCAAGGCAAATGCCTTACCAGGAGTACTCTGATCCATGTTTTCCATGTTCCTATGGGGGTATTCTGGGGTATGGCAGTCCCACCAAGGCCAATGTCACCAGCGACCGGGGCCCCCGGGCTTTGGGGCTGCACCTACCTCCCACGTCTGACACAGGTCCACCTGCTCTAAGAGAAAGTTCCCACTAGCGTCTTGTGGGAGGAGTTCCTCCCCGGGCTGCAACAGAGAACAGAGAGGCTTCTTAAGGACACACACTTTGTAGCTGGGTCCACTGGACTCTGTGTATGAGTGTGCGTGTATTTTTGTGTGTGTACACATGTGTGTATGCATGTGTGTATATGTGTGTATCTGTGTGCTGTGCATATGTGGTGTGTGTATGTGTGTGTGTGTGAGGTGTGTGCATGTGTGTGTGCTCACATGTGTATGTGTGTATGTGTGCTTGTGTGTGTGCCTGTGTGTCTCTGTGTGTGCGTGCCTCTGTGTGTGTGTATGTGTGGCCCCAGGCTTTCATTCGTGCAGCCTCAGGCCTGAAATCAACCTCAAGGGTGGGAAGGTGGCCACGGTCATGGGCATCCATCTCGCAGCCACCTGGGCCTCCCCAAGCCTCTCTCTCAGGAACACCCAGCACAGAGTGGAAGCAGCTACGGGCTGACCAAATTGTTCACGCTCCAAGAGCAAAGTCCAGCTACCTTCATAGCTACCGGCATGTGAATGATGAAGAGGTCCACGTAGTCCAGCCCCAGTTTCTTCAGGGACCTTTCCAGGCACTGCCGGACCAAATGTGGCTGAAGGAAAGTCACCCAAAGCTGCATGGTACAAATAAATCACACAGAGCTTTTATTTACATAAAATGGCATCTAGTTGCAGTTATTTGGGAACCGAACTGGAACTTCAGTGTCAAGTGCCTGAACACTGGGGAATGGGAAAGAAGTCGAAGCCTGAGGCATGTGATTCGCATGTGATACAACCCACAGAATCCCAAAGAAGCTGAGCACAAAACCAGGAGAATGGGGGGAAAGTGAGAATTTAAAATTGAAACAAAATGATAAAAATGCACACTATTTGTATGTGGTGAGAGGAGAGGAATCTCAGAGTCCTGTGTAATAAACCAGATATGGGATCCAGGGCCTGAAGCTCCTCCAAAACACGCTGCTCCCCGGAAACTGGGTCTGAGGTTTCCCAAGCTTGGAAATGGATCATTTGGTGGCCGCCATCCTCCAGAGGCCATTGGACAGTCAGGTATGGGCCAGCAGTGACAAGACACATGGGGCCTCACGGGATGGGGGTGGAGTCAGCCCATTTCCTCCCCTGCCCAATGAGTCTCCCCACCCAGGAACGGCCCCTCTGGCTACTGATCAAGCTGCTTAATGGCCATGGTCCCAGAGACTCACAAACAAATCTCAGAACCCAGGGGCTTTTGCCAGAAATGTGTCTGGACTTTGCACTTAGTTTCCAGTGCCAGGCCACCCCAGGTGGGAAAAGGTGTCATACCTCCACCTATTTCCCCTGGCGGCTCTGTGGCTGCCATCTTCCAGAGGCCATTGGACAGTCAGGTAGGGGCAAGAAGTGACGAGTCACACAGGGCCTCATAGGATGGGGGTGGAACCAGGCTCATCCTCCCCTGCCCCAATGAGACGCCAAGTCACCACCCATGAATGGCCCCTATGGCTGCTGATCAAGTTGCTTAACCGCCATGATCGCAGGGACTCCCAAACGAATCTCAGAATCCAGCAGTTTTGGGCATAAATCCCTCTATATTTAATTATTGAAATTTCAGAATTCCAAAATTACATGGCCGCAATAGCAGCCACAAGACATCATATGCTACTCATAATCAGTAATAGAAAACAAACTCTCTAATGTTGCCTTTGGCAAGTCTGAGTGTTGGCGTAAAATCCTAAATAATAATGGTATCAAAATATTGAATGTAATCAAAGTAGAGAGAGAGTAATGTGGAAATCATCTGCCATACAGGTAGGGGGAGGGTGTGGGTTGGGGGGTATACTGGATTTTTTTGATAGTGGAAAACATGAACTGATGAAGGGACAGGTGTTTTATCATTGTATGACTGAGACTTAAACCTGAAAGTTTTGTAACTGTTCTCATGGTGATTCAATAAATAAATTTATAAAAAAAAAAGAAATGGATCATTATGGATTATGGTCTAGTATCAAAGGCTTTAATCCATTTCATTTGACTTTTGTGCATGGTATTTCACCCCTATACTCCTTGCAACACTATCCACAATAGCCAATTTCTGGAAAAAAAACTCAGGGGTCAAAGAATAGATGACTGGATAAAGAAACTACAGTACATATACACAATGGAATATTACTCAGCCATAAAAAAGATAAAGTCATGCAGTTTCCTGTTACATGGAGGGACCTGGAAAGTATCATGCTAAGTGAAGTTGGTCACATGGATACTGACACAGAGTGATCTCTCTCATAAGTGGGATATAAGGAAACATAATCGGGGAATAATGAGGATGCAAAAACAATGGAAACAAGAACACAAGAACTGGTATTTATTAGGAAACACACCACCTGAGGGAACTGGGATTAGGACAGGGACGAGGGTCAAGACCGTGATGGAGGGAAGATCAACAGGGAGGAGGGGGTGGTGCAGAAGATGGTAGAGTATTATGGATGAAATCCATTTGGCAAAAGTACTGAAAACTACAGTGCAAAAACTTATGTATTTAAAAAGTGGCCCTTGTAGAGGCAGACTGGTTGGTGGGAGGCAAATGAAGGGATGGAGGAAAACTGGTGGAGGCAAGTTGACTGGTAAAGGCATTGGTGTTGAAATAATGGATGTCTAAAATCTAATCATGAATAGCTTTGAAATCTAATCACTGTCACTGTCACTGTCCTCCCCTTGTTCATTGATTTGCTAGAGTGGCCCAGTAACATTGTGAGACTTGTTAATGTGTTTGGCATATCAAATACGTCACGAGTAACTTGCCAGGCTTTGACGTGCGGGCGAGATACTCTTGGTAGCTTGCTGGGCTCTCTAAGAGAGGCAGAGGAATCAAACTCAGATTGGTCGTGTCAGCCGCATGCAAGGCAAATGCCCTACCCGCTATGCTATTGCCTTGCATGCAGCCGACAAGGCTGACCTGAGTTCAATTCCTCCACCCCTCTTAAAGAGCCTGCCAAGCTACCAAGAGTATCTCACCAGCACAGCAAAGCCTGGCAAGCTACCTGTGACGTATTCGATATGCCAAACACAGTAACAAGTCTCACAATGTTACTGGGCCCTCTTGAGCAAATCGATGAACAATGGGAGGACAGGACAGGAAATATGATCATGAATAAAAAAAAATTTTAAGAAAGAAATGGGTTGTAAGACTTGAATTTGGAGACATTAAAAGGACATGTGTCAGGAACCCAGGCCCCCATTGATTCTCTCCTCCACAACTCCACAGGCAGCCAGTTGTTGTGAGAATGACCAGTGGTACCTGTCGGGTCCAGGAAACTGAGGAGAGGTGGCCTTCCACGGGGCCAACCAATCCCAGAAGCCAATGGACCTCTCTTGGTGCCTGAGAGCTAGAAGGCCTGAGAGCCGGTCAGAAAAGTAACTCTGAGAATGTATGGACAGATGGTCACCTCAGACTTCCCTCAGACAATGGCACACGTTTTCAGTCACCTTTGGGTAGACAGCAAGTAGAATTTCCACACAGACCCCTGAGTGAGTACAAGGGAAACCTCCAAGGACTTGTTCTGAGACATGTGCCCAAGGAATCCCAGTGTGGAGCCAGTCAGTTCCATCCCTGGGGACAGACACATGTCTGAGAGCCCACCCCTCACCAATGACTCCATCAGGGACAGTGCCAAGGTGGGTCTTTCCCTCTCCGAAGGCCTCAACCACCCAGAATGCCTGGGGGCACCCTCTGGGGTAGCAACGCCTTGCCCACAGCCCAGCCCTGCATACCTTGGTGGTGTAGAACAAGTCCTCACGCCTCACGGTGCCATCAGCCATCTTCGCGCGAATTGCCTCCCCCACCTCCTCCTCATTTTCATAGAAATAGGCAGCATCGATGTGCCGGAAGCCAACATCAATGGCCATTTGGGTGGCCTCACCGGCTTTGCTCTTTGGAACCTTCAAAATATGAGTGAGGAGGACGGTTGGCTTCCTGGCTCAGCGGGAGCATTTCCCCCAGCTCCTCCCAGGGAACGTCTGAGGGCTCCGTGTCACCTCCTCCCTGAGGCCCTCCAGCCTCTACAGCTCCCCCTCCCTGCCCTCACACTCCCCTTCTCCTGCACTAGGAGTGACCCTGAGCCCCGGGAGGGAGCTGGTGACCAGGGCAGCCAGAGTCTCCACCTCCTCAAAGCCCAGGGCAGGCCCATGGGGTTCCCCACAAACTCCCCCTCCCACAGGAGAACTGCAGATGGGGCCATGCTGTGCTTGGCTGGCACCCCCTGGATTCCCTCTAAGGGATGGTGAGGCTGCCTCGTTGCTTGGACCCCAGAGAGACAAGGGGTCCTGCTGCTTCTTGCCCCGGAAATACCAGGCGCTTGTGTTCTGAGACCCGCCTCAGCCCTGAGGAGACCCGTCCCACACACTGGCTTCCCTGCCAGGGGCTGTGGGGTCCTGGGGTGCCGGGGTGCCTGAGGAAGAAGGACAGAACGATGGTGCAGGACTTGGAGACCTTGGACTTATGCAAGACCTGTAGCAGAAGCCTCACATTTCACCGAGACCCTCATCTTCCCCACAGGCACAAAGCCTCCTCCGAGCTCAATTCATGACTCCTATTCAATTCATGACCAGTCTGCACCAGACCCCAGGGGTCGCCTGCCCTGTCCCAGATCCAGTCTCTCAGGCCTGCGGGGACCGTCAGCACCCGGGACAGAGGCAGCCCCAGCAGAGGAAGCCGAGCAGGCGCCCACAATCTCCTTCCCTGGGCCCTGCACAGTGAGTGCAATTTGCCTGCAAATACTGTGATTAAAATTCCTGGGGTCTAGAGAGTGAGGGACTCTGGATTGTGTGACTGCACCTGAGAGGTGAAGTCGGGAAGGACACTGCACGTTGTGAGTCCTTGCAGACATCCCTTGCAGGGGCTGCTGTGCTGGTGTCCTGCTGACCACAGTGGCTTCCAGGCTCTACATCCATGGCATGATCTGCCCAGGCCTCCCCAGAGCTCCCGGAGGGGGGTCGAGGCCCTCAGTGGGGAACCGAGCCCAGCCCCTGGTGCCCATGCTCAAGACGCCCTTTAGAGTGCCCAGCCTGGGCCCCTGCTGCCTCTCAGGGGACAGCAGCTCCCAACTAGGACCCTCAAGCAGTTCTTCCTGAGCCCCAACTACAGCCGAGCTGCCAGGCAGTGCCAAGATGCTCGACCAGCCAGTGTGTCTGCACAAAGGACTCCCGTGAGGAGCACAGGGACTGGGCGACATGGCTTGTGGGCAGGAGGAGACTCCAGGCACTGGTGGGGACTGGAAAAAGGGCAAGGTGCTGGCACCAAGTGGAGCACCCCATCTGCAGCCCTTAGTATTCCTTACAGAACTCAGTATGTGCCAAGTCCCGGACACCGGCCGTGTGACCAGGATAACATTGACACACAGGACATGCTCTCCCAAAGGACACGTGTCAGCCCAGAGCTAGGGCCAGCCTCATTCTGGTGCAGACTCATGTCCTCTGAGTTTCCTGTCTGCAGCTTCACATCGTGCTCCACAAGTCCCAGCTAGTGGCTCCAACAGCGTCCTGATCGCCTGTGTATGTGCCCAAACACCCCAACGGTCTACGTCTTAGGTAACCCCAATTAGAGGCTCAAACAGCCCCAGAACCACGTGTCAACCTGGGAGTGCCCTAGATTGTCCATGTGCCATGGCCATTCCAGGTCGCCCTCGGCCCAGGGAGCACTCGCTCACAGGAATGCCAAGGGCAGCCAAGAGATTTCAAAATTGCCCCGTGCCATGCTCTCCCCGAGCACCTATCCCCTAGCTCACTCCCAGACATTAGTCACATCTCTGTCCTGGGCAGCACCTCCAGGTCCATTAAGCTAGTGGCACCCTCTGACAGCCCCGTATGCCCCTGCCCTAGGGTCTCTTGCAGGAGACCTTGGGTCCTGGCTGTGCTTGGGTAGCCCCTCTTGAGCTAGGCCTCGCCATCCTCACACTCACATCAGCAGGAGCGTAGGTGCCAAGTCCCAGCACTGGCATCCGGTGCCCGTCACTGAGCTGCACACTCCGCATGCCCTGGAGGTCCATCCGTGCACACAGAGTGCTACCCACGGTGCTTCCCTGTCCCAGCGCAGAGCCTTCAGAGCGGTGAGAAGCGGAGTGCGGGGCTCAGGGCTCTTATTCCCCCAAAGAGAGGCGGAGCAGGCATGCTGCCCAGAGGGCAGCTGGAACTAGACCAGAGTCACAGGTTCTGGGCATCCTTCCGGTGTCCTCAGGCACAAACTTGGACTCACCCACACTTGAGCCGTAGGGCTGATCTCACCTGCCAACCCGTTTCCAGGCTCTCTCTCGAGATGCAGTCAGGCCCCATCGTTGATGCTGTCTGCACATGGGAGCGTCTCCACATGAAACCCCTAGAAAGCCGTGACTCGGAGAGGCCGAGCCAGGCTGCTGCTAGCCTGAGCACTCATGCAGTTTCTTTCTCCCCCCCTCCACTCATCCCTCCTTTCCTCCTTCCTCCCCCTCTTCCTTCCTCCCTTTTCCTCTACTCCTACCTTCCTCCTCTCCATTCCTCCCCTCCTCTTTGTGACCTTCCCTTCTTTTCTTCCTCCCTCCATTCTTCCTCCTTTCCTTTCTTACCCTCGCTTTCTTCTCTCCCTGTCCTTCTCTTTCTCTTCTTTTCTTCTTCTTTGTTCCTTTCTTTTTCCTCTCTTTCTTTCTTCCATCCCTCCACTCTCCTTCCTTCCTTCCTTTCATCCTGTCTTTCTCTTTCTTTCTTTCTTTCTCTCTTTCTTTCTTCCTTTCTTTCCTTCTTACTCTCTTGCCCCAATCTCTAACTTCCAGATCTTTTATTTGGATTTCCCCAGTAAGGTACTACTCAATTCAAGTCACTTCAAGTGCAGCACCAAACCCCTCTCACCATCGCCCTCCCTTCTCTATCTCTTCTCTTTCTCATCTTCTCCCACCTCTTAGCCCTCTCTTTAGCTTTCTCTCATCCATTCACTGTCCATCTCTCTTACACAAACACAGCACTTTCTCTCTCTCCCTCTCTCTCTCTTTCTCTCTCCCATGAACAAAGTGGATTGTGTAACCTCTAGATCTAAATAACTAACAAACCTAGAGAGTGAATGCATTCGGCTAAAGAGGCTTTGCACCATATCCAACCCACAAGTCCTGGCACCACACCAAACTGCTCCACAGAGGCTGAAGCAATACAGAAGCCCAGTCCAAGTCGAATGGTTGATTTCATTATTCCAAACACATGGTATTGATTCGCTATGGTGTCAGCAGAAACTTGACTTCACTGGTTCAAGACTCTGAGCAGAATCCAGCAAATCATTTATTAAATGGCACAAATAGAGCAGCTTGCAATGCCTCCCACACAGAAGCGTGATGGAATGAAGCACCAAGCCCCGAGCACAGGAGACAGTGATGCATGGAGTTCTGGGAAAACAGGCCGTGGCTGAGTCCCCCCAGCCCAGAGTGGGGCAGGAGCTTCTGCAATGACCTGCATGGGCTCCCACAGTGACTCACACTCACGACCCCACACACACTCGGCCAGCAACTCCCATGGGCAAGACACACACAGCAGACTCTGCCCTGTGGTGCTGTCAGGCAGCAGAGAGAGAGTCACTCTCCAATGAATTCACTGCCTAGCACGAGATGGGAGAGTCCGGGGAGGGGAGGGCGGCGTGGGAAAGAGGCCAAGTAGTAAAGGCAGGTAGGGCGTGTGCAGAGCAGCAGGAGGACTGTCAGGAGAGCTGCGGAGTGTGAGGTGTCCAGTCCACCCCCGTGGCACATAGGAGATCGGGAAATGGTAGAGCAGAACGAAAGCTGACTGCAGGTCGGGTGGGGGATCGGCCTTTCCACAGTCTTGAGAGCTGAGAGTGTCAAAGTGCATCAGAGAGAAGAAGAAAAAGTCCATGGCCCAGGCCAATTGCCTCAGTGATCAGCAGTGAGGAAGATCAGGGCCAAGGAAGGCAGACTCCTTCGAGGCTCATGCTGCTCCTCACACCTGCATTTCTTAGGCCACATTCTCCGTGCCTCTGACCGGTGTCCCAGTCTCGACTTCTTGTGTATTATGTGTTGGCTGTGAAGCCGCGTCTCTATCCAAGATGGTGGGAAGAGAAAGTGGCAGAAACTGTGGTCACCTCCATGAAGCTGCTCAGGCTCACAGACCCCAGGCTCAGAAGCAGGCCCTCTGAGAGTCTGTGAGGTTTCCCTGACTCCTGCAGCCCCCTCATCCCCTCCCATAAACCTCTGCAAAGTCTTCTCCCATCACCTCTGCATAAGCCAAACAGCTTAGCGTGAGATAGCCAGGGAACAAGTCTACCGTCCGCTCAGGCCACTAGCACCGAGTTCACCTGTCTCCTCACACACAGCTCTGGGGGCTTGAAAATTGGTCTATAAGTGGAGGACACTGAAGTGGGTTAACTCTCACAATCAGGAAAAGAGAGAATGGGAGAGGAAAATGGGTGTTGAGAGAGTGTTTGAGAGAAAGTGGGTGCATATGAGAGTGTGGGAGTGACAGAGCATATGTGCTAGAGAGGGAGTTTTTGTGAGAGACTGAGTGTAAGTATGTGTGAGAGAGTATGTTAGAGAGTGTGAGAGACTCTGTGTGAGTGTGTACTGAGAGAGTTTGTGAGAGAGAGCATGTGTGAGAGTATATAAGACAAAGTGTGTGAGACAGTGTGTGAGACAATGTGTATATGGGAGAAGTGTGTGTGAGATTGTGCATATCTGAGAGAGTATATGAGTAGGTGAGAGTGTGTGTGAGATAGAGTGTGTGACAGAGATTATGTGTGTCTGTGAGAGACAGTGTGAGTTGTGAATAAGAACATTATAAGAAAGAATGTGTCTATGAGAGTGTCTGAGGGAGAAAATGCATAAGTGCATGTCAGATAGCATGTGTGAGAGTGTGTGAGAGTTGTGTTAGAGATAGTGTGTTTGAGTGTGTGAGAATGTGTGTGTGAGAAACTACATGTGTGAGTGTGTGTCTGACAGTATGAGTGTGTGAGAGAGTGTGTGAGAGAGGCTGTGAGTGAGAGAGTGTGTATGAGAGATAGAGTATGTGTGTGAAAGATTGTGTGAGTGTGTGAGGCAGTATGTGAGAGACAGTGTGTAAGACAGAGTTGTGAAAGAGAGTGTGTGTGTGAGAGAGAGAAAAATGTGTCTGTGAGAGCATGTGAGAAAGAAAGTGCGTGAGAGTGTGTGTGAAAGTGTGAGAGAGACGGTGTGTGAGTGTGTGTGAGAGTATGTGAGATAGTTTGCATATGAGAGTGCTTGTGAGAGTGTGTGTGAGAGAGTGTACATGAGAGTGTGTGAGAGAGTGGGTGAGAAAATGTTGTAAGAGAGTGTGTTTGTGAGATAAAGTATTGTGAGATAGATATGTTAGAATGTGTTTTAGGGAGTGCGTGAGAGAAAATATGTGTAAGAGAAAGTGTGTGGAGACTGTGAGATTCAATGTGAGAGAGAGAGTTGTAACAGAGAGTGGTATGTGTCTGAGACAGTCTGTGAAAGACAGTGTATGAGAAAGAGTTGTGAAAGTGTGTGTCAGAGAGAGAATGTGTCTGTGAGAGTGTGTGAGAAAGAAAGTGCGTGTGTGAGAGAGTATGTGTGTAGGTATGTGAAGTTGTGTATTGTGTGAGGGTGTATGAGAGTATTGTATGAGTATGTGAAAGAGTATGTATGTGTGAAGATGTGTGTGAAAGAAATTGTGTGTTATATAGTATGTATATGAATGTGTAAGAGAGTGTGTGAGAGAGTATTATGTGAGGGTGTGTGACAGAGTGTGAGAGTGTGAAAAAGCATATGTATAAAAGAGAGGATGTGTGAAGATGTGTGTGAGAGAGTGTAAAAGAGTATGTGTTTTATATTATCTTAGCTGATAGAACAAATATAAAATCATCATCAATTATAGATCACATGAGATAACATAGGAGATGGTCGAAAATTTAAAAAGAGAGTGAAGACAGCAGTTCTAAAACCATTTACTTTACAAAATCTGGGAGGAGGAAGAGCCTAGAAGGGTTTAGGACCTCTAGAAGACTAGGAAGTTAGCTTATTTGCTTGAATGGATTTCTAGATTAGCTCATTAGAACAAATGGAAAAATTAAGAAATCATTTGAGATCTGTTTTTTCTGGCTAATCTTTCATCTGGGGGTTAGTCATAAGCAGGAATTTGCTAGGTTGCAAGCCACATGCTGGGTGTTGTTGCCGGTGCTGTTATCTCTAAAGAGGATTTCACAGGGTGCTTGTTGTCAGTGTCCTTGCTAAGAGAGTGGTGTCCATCTGGGAGGATAGAACTCAGCATTCTGTCAGAAAATAGGCTAATAAAACTTTGGGTTGTGGGCTGGCTTGCACATCTACTCCCTGCTGAAATTAAGGCTGTGGAGATGCCCTTAGTGAAGAGGCAGTAGAGTGTCCCCTCCAGGGTAGACTCAGCACCATCCAACAGGCCGCCTGTTGGACCTTCTGCATGAAAAGAAAATAAATAAATAAATAAATAAATAAATAAATCAGAGACCAAACATTGGCTTGATTGATGACAAAAACATTCACAAATACATTTTTCAATACCGTGATTTCTGTTGTGTGTGGCTAAAATACTTTCTAAATCATTTTTGTGACCTTAAACTTTTGTTAAGTGATGCTAGATAAAATTTATTGACTTCTCCATTTTTACTTTTCAACCAAGATCAATGTTGAAGCCTTTATCACTGAATATGTGTTTATCTGCTTGTGACTTCTCATTCCATAGAAAATAAGAGATTATGAAGCCTAACAATAAATGTTTTGTGTAATGCAAGTCTCTATGATGATCAATACAATTTCAGATATTACAAAATTGATTTCTAATCCTGCCAGACCAGAGAATGACAGTATACTGGAGAGTTTAGAATTCCTTAGCAAACACTAGAAATTAAGGTGGGGAAGGATTCCTAAGAAATGCAAGTGATTCACTTAACTTAATCACTTAACTTCCCGTTAGTCGTCGATTTGCTCGAACGGGCGCCAGTAATGTCTCCATTTGTCCCTGTCGCGTGCTAGTGTAGCCCAATGGCATCTGTTCGCTCTGGGAACATGAAGAGCCTCAAACCAATCGTTCATGATCTTGACGAAGAAGTCTGACCATC